TATCACACATATCTATTCAGTGGAAGTAGTAGTATATATATCTTTTAATTAATATTGTCTTTGTTTTTGTTTTCTAAGGTAAAACATTTTATATTCTCCATATGTGTTCAATAAGATTTAAAATTCCATTGGTGTAAATATCATGAAACAGGGCTTCTTTTTGCTATATATCATATATCATAAATACACAGTGTACAACAATGTTGTGTTTTTGCCTCAAACTCACACTCCAACATTGCTGCATAAATGTCTCATGGGGAAACATTAGTGAAACAGCTACACAAGTCGACTGGTTTGTCTTTAAATGTTTGTTATATTTGAGTTATGTAATAAATTAGTTTGTTTTACACATTTTTCTTCCCTTTTTCCTTTGGCTCTTTTCATTTCATTATCACACATACAGTTAAGCCCCAAATTATTCAAACCACTGGTAGATTTGAGTTTAAATAAATTTTCTCTGAAAAATTAATTTAAACTCAAATCCACCAGTGGTTTGAGTTTAAATTAATTTTGGTTTTTTTGTTGTTGTTTTATAAAGAATTTAAAATGAGTCTTGGAAACAAAAAAAAATTATCATATTTATTTATATTTCTCTTTTAAACAAGCATGTCAATAAAATCTTAATCTCTTAAAAAATGCAGAAGATCCAGCAAAGAGATAATATTAATGAATACTGCAAATACTACTGCAGGATTATCAGAGAACAATGTTGTCATTACCTGTTGCTGAATCTTTGGATTTGAAATTGGAGCGGAGAGAAGAACCTCGATTGGCAGAACGTGAAAGATTCTGAACTGCTGAATAAAGAAAAGAATATTTTTAAAACTAATAAAGTCTTTGTCATTTTTAAGCGATTATCATTGTTTTCTGTAAAGATTGGCTAAAATCTAAGTAAAAGGCAATGTGCAAATTTTTCAGGGGGAGTTATAACTTCATGCACATAATCCACAAACACGTGAGTCAAGCTCTGCTTTCTGCAACAACATCACTCACAAATTTTATACATCTTTATCTAAAATGAATTTTATAACTTAACCCCAGAAATGAGTACACCATTTCTCACATCATCAGTGCTGTCATCTAGACATCCCCCTGCTGTGTATCAAACCAAGGGCATGGGGTACATGATGTTAGACTTAGCTTATGCTGATATCTAGCAATGATACAACAGTACTGAAAGGTTATTAAGAATTGCTGTTATGCAATAAACAATTTTCCTCTTATCAGTTCAGATGACACACTGCTTTATTACGATGTCAGCAGGTAACTGTGAACCCACCTAAGCACTAGGTAAATGCATAGAAGAAATGTGAGCAGTGATGTACCAAATTATTCTTTAGCTGAAACCAAAAGTGAGTCATCTTTAGACCACAGGAGGAGCAATTATAAGTTAGCATGCAGCTAGAAAACACCAATCAGTCTTTAAATCTGTGTGCAGTGATGGACTCAGGCCTGAACCTTCAGTGATATATAAACAGTAACCAAGTCAGCCTTCTATTACCTGAAAAAAAATTCCAAAATTAAAGGACTAATGTTTCAGCAGGATCATGATAAACTAACTCATTGGTTAATCTTTAGTCAAATTGATTACTGGAACAGTGTCTTCGCAGGTCTGCTTAAAAAGATAATCCAGAGCGCTGCTG